ACCGATCATGCACTTTTTCACGAAAATCGGCCCGATTGTGATCGGTGACCGATCGATCGGCACACCTCTAGTTCCTAATGTTAAGTTTTAATCATAAATCAGAAACACTGACTGCAGTCAGCTTCCATCAGGCTGTTAGTTTCTGTAACTGCCCCTCAAAGCGATGACCTCATATCTCAGAAGGCCTCAGCCTCCACCCAAGGAGCACCGCCTGGCTCTTCATCCACCCTGCCCCCTGCAGCACCGCCCCTCTGCCTGCCCATTCAGATCATGCTGCAGCCACTCACCAAGAGATTCAGATACCACTTCTATGGAAATCGCCAAACCAACTCCATACACAAGGTTTGTCCTACACTGAACACCCAGTGCACAGCGGAGCTGATGTCATAACACTAACTCCTCTCCCCGGTTCCTTCATGTGACATTTACTCTCAGAATGAAAAGTAAAATAAACTTGAAGTTTATTCCTCCTTAATGACCTATTTGTTTAGAAGAAGTTATACCAACTTGTTTCCATATTTTTCTGCTGTTGCTTTGTTTTCTATTTGTGAACTGCAAGCTAACTGTGAGACAATCTCTCTGTGGATTGGCTCTAATCTTCCTATCAGTTATTTTCTTTCCATCTCGACCTAGAAGTATTTCTGTGCTTTGAAAGTTCATGTATATCACTTGAGTTTAATTGACTTTTTTTTATACTGCAGCTGAGTTTCACTTACAGATTTATAATTAAAGAATCCTTTTTACTGTTGAGGAAATAAAAATGCAGTAGACAGAATATAATAAAAGTAGTTTTAATGTTAATAAAATTGACTCCTTTAAAAAGGACTCCACTTTAAACATGTTCCTGTTTGGTTTAGTACCTTCTTTAATGAAGCACTGTTTGTGGAGAAATGAGCCGTTTGAGTTCAGTTCTACACTAACTAGACTGGTTCCCTGCTTTAGAAGAGGCTCATTATCTCTGTGTGTTCCAGCCAGAGTGGTACCTCACTCAGGTTCTGAAATGGATGGAGAACAGCACCACCTTCATGGAAGAAAAGATTCAGCCTGTGTTTGACCGGTCTGAACAAACCATCAGTGCTAAGGTATGTTGGTTATGAAAGAGAAATAAAATGGATCCAAATCTGGCACTGAGATCAGTTCTAGCCTATCTTGCAGTGCTTACCTTAAACATGTAAAAATCTTTTCTGAAAACTCCAAGACCATGATGAAACTGATTTTTTAAAATTTTTATTAATGAATGTCTGTTGGGAACAGATTTGTTGAAGAGGTGGTAAAACTGGTGGGTGCTAGTTTACTGTAAGTCTGTCTTTAACTGTTCTGATGTTACAGAGTCTAGATGTATGGAACTGCAAGCACTAATTATAAATGTAATTATTTATTCCTCTGTCAGACCTTTAGACTGTTGTTGGTTTCACTGAATTTAAATTTCATGTTTTTAATGGTTGGACTGCTTGATTGTTAGAACTAAAACTGTTTGGCCAGACTCTCTTGGAAAGTAGATATTTGATCTCAACAAGTCATTTCAAAAATGTTTAAATATTTTTATTTTAACTTTAACACATGATCTTCTTGTTATGAATCTATCCAAATTAAAACATTAAAGTTCAAGTTCTTGTTTTGTCTAAAATTATAATGTATAACTTTAGGTTTTAAAATTAGAAAGTTTCATCTACAAATCCTCTGAATCCAGAAAAAAAGGAACAAAGTCTCCTGATGGGTGACGAGAGAAGCAATCTGTTGGCTCTGTCTGCCTACAGGTGGCGCTGTGTCAAGGCCTGGTGTGTTTAGTCCAGGAGAAGGTAGCCAGTGATGCGTCTCGAATGCTGTATGATGATGGGCTCTTCTGCCACCTGGTGGACGAGGTGCTGCAGTTTGAGAAGGACCTGAGAAGCCATCATTCCTATCCGGCGACGCTGCCTGCTCTGCTCCACATCCTGCTTGACGACGCCTTCCTTCAGAAGTGGCTCGCCGTGGAGAGGAAGAGTGAGTTCTTACCTGACTGCCGTCCATCAGTTTCTTCCTCTTTCGTTGGGTTTAAAGCCGTATCTTGTCACTCAGGGCTCATGTTGCATCCTGTCTATGTAGGAAGCAACTCTGACATCTGCTGGAAAATTCTAAATCAAACAGTGATGTACTAGTTGGTCATTTTTGCCCATGATTCAGTGATTTTAACTTTTTTGTTCTTTTTGTGGTTTGGAGATGATGTTACAAAAGCTCCCAGACCAGAACACCAGGCAACGTGGAGCGTCCTCCACGTTGCCTGCGTCACTTCCTGTGCTTTTCTCTCCGTTTGCTCACAGTGGCTGTGGAGAAGATGGATGCGATGCTGTCAGCTGAGGGAGCCTGGACTTCTCAGTACAAAGACATCAGTGACATGGATGAGCTGAAGGCGCCAGAATGTGCAGAGACATTCATGACTCTCCTGCAGGTCATCACAGGTATGACCTCATCATGTTTTCACACATAAAGTAGAAGCTGAGAAGTGTTGTTATGGCCAGGTGTGTGTAAACTCAAAACCTCTTCAAGCTGGTCAGTTATCAGACATAGACTCATCCAGAATAACTGATAATTTGTACAAAGGATTTCTGCTCATTTTGATGATTACAGATAAGGTAGAAAAGCAACAGGAGTAAGAGAATTTTGAAGCAAAAGAGCAAAAAGTGTTCCATTCTGTGTTAAAGGGACAGTATTATGTAAAATGGACCTTTTTTTTAAGCTATACATCATGTTATGTTATTCCCTCATCAAAAACATACTTGGAGTGTTGTCTTGATTAATTCATGCATGTTTGAGAAATCCTTTAATCTCTGTGGCAACCATTCAGCTGTGCTAAATTCCTGGGTGGACCTAGCTCTGCCTTTAAAGTTTCCAAGATTCAGAGCTTCCTCCTTACAGAGCAGCCCTCCACAGTGACTTAGCCACTCAGCTCCTTCAGACTAGCCAGCAGCAATTAGCAAATACCTGGTGTAGCTGGACATCAGCGGAGCTCATTATAGCAGCTGCTTCTCAGTTCAATGCTGTTAAAATGTTGTTAAAGGGTTAATAGAGGAGCCATATTGTGATGACTTCCTGAAGACAGAGATTTCAAGGCGCTAAATCATCAAGTGACATTTCTTATAAGTCATATTTGATATAAATAGCATTTTTATAACAACCAAAGGTAACATAGTTACTTGATTATGTTATAAAATGGCACTGTGGGCCTGGAAAATACATAATACTGTTTCTTTAAACCGCTCCTGACCCAGAGATAGAAAATGGATCAAGTTTTGCCAAAACTAAAAACCACAATAAGCTCATTTGAAAAGAGGACTACATATTTAATTATAATATAGATTCCTCCAACAGTTTTGGTAACACTTTATTTGACGGGGTGTGAATAACACTGACATGAGACTGTCATAAACATGACATAGCACCTGTCATGAACATGAGGTCTTTATGAATGTCTATGAATATTGTCATGAATTGTCATTCGGTAAATAATGACACTTTAAATGCAAAGTTGCATTGAAAGTCCATTAAAAGTGCCAACTTTGCATTAAAATGTCATTATTTACTGAATGACACTTCATGACAAAAGTCATAGACATTCATAAGGACTCGTTCACGCTCATGACAGATGATATGTCATGTTTATGACAGTGTTATGTCAGTCTTATGCACACCCCTTCAAATAAAGTGTTACCACAGTTTTTTGTAAACTAACTGTGTTTGGTTGCAAACTTGCAGAACGGTATCGGGCCTTGCCCAGTCCTGCAGCACAGCTCAGGTTCTTTGGGCTGCAGAAGGAATTGGTCGATGACTTCCGCATACGACTAACTCAGGTAAGGATGACTCTGGATGTCAGCTTATCATAAAAGACTTGTTTCATAATGCTTTGAAAAACATAAAATCATGAGTCAGCAAGAAAACCTCACAATCAGATAGTCCGCTCTGCGACATCAGGAACAACCAGAATGTCCAACATGAGGACCACTGAATGTCCAACCACAATAAAAGTCCTTTTCTTTTGTTCCCAGGTGATGAAAGAGGAGTCCCGCTGCCCACTGGGGGTCCGTTACTGCGCCATCCTCAATGCAGTCAACTACATTTCAACCATTCTGAGAGACTGGGGGGACAATGTGGTGTGTATGGGTTTATGTGACTGCAGGTCTAGCAGAAGGTTGTGTTCACCTCTTCATGCTGAGCTTTTGAGCAGAACAGGAGCTGTAAAATCATCCTGAGTTTTACAAGTAAAGCATTTGCTAAGCATGAAGCCAGAGATGCAAAGGAATGACAGGGAACTGAAGGCTACAGAGTGTGTGACTGCTTCCTGTGTGTGTGCTCCAGTTTTTCCTCCAGCTGCAGCAGGCTGCGGTTTCTCTGGGACAGCAGGAGGTTCTGGGCAGCGTGGAGATGACAGAAGTCGGGCGTCTGGCCTCTCTGGAGGGGTCTCTGTTCGATGGTCTGCTGTCACTGCTGGATCGACTGAAGGGAGACATGTTGGGAAGACTGCTGCACTTTCTAATGAGAGACACGGCTGAAAAAGCCCAGCCATACTGTCAGGAAAGGCGAGTCTGCTAATATGCCACACCAAGTCACAAATCTGATGGTTTTTGTCCTGGTTATTGACCTTTTTTCAATATTTGACTCAGTTTTTATTACGAATGTTTTTTCAAATTAAAGGTTCATCAGAATAGATGGATATTGTGCTCTTTCTCCTGTCGTAGATGGTTGTCCATTCCATCTCCTCAAGACCAGTCTGCCATGTCTCTGTCCAGTTCAGCGTGTCCCATGATGCTTTGCGTGAGGGACAGACTGTTGAACCTTCATCAGGTCCTGAGTGTTTCTCTGTTCCAACTTGCCTGGCAGGGTTTGGCAGAGAAACTGGACAACTTCATCTACCAAGAGGTGAGAGCTGTGATGTTTCTGTTTTGTGATATTCACAGAATAGCTGATCTAATATAGTAAAAGACTTTACTATGCCCACAGTGTTTCACACTGATACACTCAGCTGCTTTATTTCACTGTTTTGGACATTTCCTGGGGGACATCGGGGTGAACTGGTTTTATTGGACTGTACTGCTGGCATAATGCACACAGAAGACCTCATGTTAAGGTTTAAAAAATGAATAATGAAAACTCTACTACATTTTGACTCTTTATGTCTGTA